GTGAACTACGAAATGGAAGCCAGAAATCAGCCACAATTTAACCGTCTTCCTGAGGGAATGCATACCATGGAGAACTCCTCGCCGGGAAAGGCATTGCAAAACGCCAGATAAAGCTGCTCCATCTGCTGCTCGAAGTTCTCGCCCAGCATCTTGTGATAAATCTTCTGCTCGCGATTCACAATCAGTGCTTGGAAGGACTGCAGTTGCTCGAGGAACTCTGCCTTCTTGCAGCTCTGCTGGTAGAGAGCCATAAGGCGGACAATCAGCATGATGCTGCCCGTCTCGGGCGGATAGTGCATCTTCTTCCAAGTCTCGTTTAGCACATTAATGGGATGTGTGTCGTCGGAACGGAAGCCGCCCATGCAGGCCACCCGGTGGTAGCGCTTCTGGGCCTCCATTAGGCAATCCTCGGAGCAGTAGCGCACCTTGCAGCGCGGGCACTGGGTGAACTGAGCCACCCACTGGGCCGTGGGATCGTGCTGCAGGAGGGGCACATCCACCTGGGAATCGCTGGCCAAGCGGCGCACATTCTCCAGCACCGTTTCCAACGGTCGCATGCAATGGTCACATGCCGCATAGCCGTACGCCGCGTTCCAAGAGAATTGCCGGGAGACGAAGGGCTCCTCCTCGAAGATCACTTCGTCCGCTGCAAAGTTCTTGGTAGCAATCATCGCTCGACCCTGAGGAAATATACATATGCTTTTAGCTGCAGTTCGGATGGCATTCAGCACACCACTTACCTTTCCGGGCAACTCCCGAATCTCAAAGTGGTTCATCTTGCTTATTGGAAGTCTTTTGTTTTGACCAATTAAGCTGGGTTACCACGTGCGTTGTATATAAACAATAACAAGGCTGCCGCTTCAGCAAAAAGTGGGACCGCACATACGAGTATATTTAGTATTTCATTATTTGTATTCAGTATTTTTTGTTGACTCCAGTTTACCACCCGTTTTCCGGTACGAATTCAAATTCAGAAAATCTTGAGAGCTCCGGCATGGGTTCAGATGGCGAAGAGGAGGTATCCGCCGCCGCCGCCGTGAAACAGATCAAAGATCGGAAACGTGGAATACACCGTCAAATTTTGGATTTGTTGGCCTTGTCCTATAGTATTTGCTATTTTGTCTCTACAATACTACGATAAATTTGAGGAACTACAATTTAAATTGGCCTAAAAAGTGTATAGCCGAATAAAATCAAGTTTTTTTTACACCAAATCTTAAGTGACTTGTTTTGATTTTGAATCCAAACAGCGGTTACATTTTCCGTGTTGCATGTTTGTTTAAACATCGATTATGAAGTTTAAATAGTTTTTGAATAATCGACGTCTTATCGATGTATCTCTCCATCAATCGTTGCAAGTGCTATCGATAAATAAATCCTGAGAAGAGAAAAAATAAGACTTATTTGGTCCTCGAATCAACCGAATCCCGGCCCGTGAAAAATGGCAGATGAAGCGGGCAACCAAGCCGATGGCCAGCGGCAGTTTATTTGCGGCGTGATCGAGGGCTTTTACGGCCGCCCGTGGACGACGGAGCAGCGCAAGGATTTGTTCCGGAAGCTCAAGTCCATGGGCATGGGCTCCAGCCCGTCCTACATGTATGCGCCGAAGGACGACTACAAGCACCGCGCCTACTGGCGGGAGCTGTACACCGTGGAGGAGGCGGATCACCTGTCCAGTAACTAACCTTTAAACTGCGCAAATTCTCCGGTAAAGTGCCCCCTCTTCCTTGCAGGTCTGATTGCTGCGGCCAAGGAGGCAGGGATCACCTTCTACTACGCGCTATCGCCCGGCCTGGACATGACCTACAGCAGTCCGAAGGAGATCGCCACGCTGAAGCGCAAGCTGGATCAGGTTTCGCATTTCGGTTGCGAAGCCTACGCTCTTTTGTTCGACGACATCGAGTCGGAGCTCTCGAAGGCGGATAAGGAGGTCTTTCAGACGTTTGCCAACGCCCACGTGTCGGTCACCAACGAGATATACACGCACCTGGGCAGTCCCAAGTTTCTCTTCTGCCCCACCCAGTACTGTGCCTCGCGAGCCGTTCCCACGGTTCTGGAGTCTGAATACCTGAATACTCTGGGCTCCAAGTTGAACAACGAGATCGATATCCTCTGGACAGGGGATAAGGTAATCTCCAAGACCATATCCCTGGAATCGATCCAGGAGATTACCGAGGTGCTGCGTCGTCCGCCGTGCATCTGGGACAACCTGCATGCCAACGATTACGACCAGAAGCGCGTCTTCCTGGGACCATACAGTGGGCGATCGCCGGAGCTGATCCCCCACTTGCGGGGCGTAATGACCAACCCCAACTGCGAGTTCTACGGCAACTTCGTTGCTATCCACTCGCTGGCCTTCTGGTCGCGCTGCAGCATGGACTCCAAGGTAAACAGCTCCCTGAGCGCGGACATAAAACTGGAGACTGAAAACGAGGATGACCTTCCGGCGGAGTTCCTCTCAAAGAACGTGTACCACCCGCGATTGGCTCTCAAGTGGGTGAAACTAACAGATACTTTTATGAAAAAATAACAAATTCTAAACATTTTGAAGGAACGCCGTTTCGGATTGGCTGCCAGAATTCTTTATGAAAAAGGAGGCATTTGGACCCATTACCAAGCCCCAACCTCAAGTGCAAATGGTCATGCCCATCATTCCCATAATACCTTCCATCAATACCTGCATGAGTCTCACCACAACCACAACCACTTCGACGAGCTCGAGGACGGTTCCGGAGGTCAACACCACCCAGTTACAAGCCCTGGCTGACGTTTGGTAAATGAAAGTTTTCTTTTTTGTAAACCACTTTATTACAAGTTAAATCATTATTTGCAGCGTTGTGACTTCTTCGCTAACGCCCATCTCAAATCCAGTTATGAACTCGCTGGTGTCGCCCACGAAGGTGATCACGAACGACGATATCATCAATCCCATTCCGACCACAGCCGCCAGCAACATTGAATTGCCGAAGAAGATACCCATCTCCGTTGTCCCAGTGCCCATTATGGAGACTAAGAGTGTGGAGGCTTCCGTGGAACTGGCTCTGGACAATGCAGTTTTCAATGATAATGAACCGAAGAGCGAATCGACAAAGGACCGACTTGAGTTGGAGGTGGAGGACTTGGAGGAGAAGCAAGAACCGGTGGCCAGTCTTTGTGTGGACACAATGCTGGACGACGCCAGTCTGAGTCCATTGAGTGGCGGAGTCAATGAGCCCATGGAGTGTAGTAGCAGTATAGCATCCCAGGTCTCTCCAAGGGAAGAGGAGGCAACCAAACTGGTGGCCGACGATGTGCTCATGGAGTCTGTGAACGATGTGCATGTAAGTATGATTGTGGATCTCGGAATCTAGATTATTGATTGCTTAATTTGTTTTATATCTATCCAGAGTATGCATGTGGAGAGTGGGACGTCGTCGCCGATCTCAAATGCGGAAATGCGCGAAGAAAATGAAGCTCAGTCCGATAGGACCATCGAAAATAAGTATGCTCCTTCAATGATTAGTAAAGAGGCTCTTAGAAGAAACATACTACTAAATCTTTTTTTGATTTAGTACTTCCGGCGGCGAAAGGATAACCGTTGATGATCTGGCTTTGCTCTGCGATCTGTTCTATTTGCCCTTTGAACACGGCAGCCGCGGCCAGAAGCTGCTTGTCGAATTCAACTGGCTGAAGGGCAACGCAAATGTGATATTGCAGGACCGTTCTGCCGGTGGAAGGGACGATGCCGCCAAAGCAGCCAAGCCGGAGGTCAGCGAGTGGCACCAGCGCTGTGAGCAATTTGACGAACTCTGCAGTGCCGTCGTAAAGCTGCTGATCAAAATAGCTAATTGCCAGAACAAGGAAATCTGTCACGAGCTGTACTCGTACGTGTGGGACATCTCCGGCGCCCTGTCCCTGCTCAATTGCTACGTCAAGTGGCTGGCTCTCGGCAATTTTCCGCAAAACACTTCTTCCTACACGGAGGGAAGCTACACTTGTAAGAGAATCGATCGGTATTTTAGTATGGCAATTCTTACTCTAACATGGAAATCTTTCAGGGTTTAGCAAGGGCTGGAAGGAGGCATTCATGTCCGGTGATCAGGAGCCGTGGGTCTTTAGAGGCGGCCTTATTGCGGACCTACAGCGACTGATGCCCGTGGACTCGGGTAACGACCTGTTTGTGTACAAACTGCCGGAACAACCGACGGCCAACTACTATCTCCTGAGGCCCTACTGCAACTCGGACGAGCAGAACGTCAACGAAGTTTGCACCCGCTTGTACTTGCAGTGGCAGGGGCAGCTGGACGGAGGGAGCCGCATTCCCTTCCCGCTGCCGGCGAATGTGGCTAGCATTGTGGCGGATGGACTGGTGGGTGGACATCTCACCCTTAGTCCACAGCTGTGCATTGTGGCCTACGATGAGAATAACAGTATCATTGGCTATTCTTGTGCGGCCTTGGACGTCAACATATTCCGGCGCAATCTGGAGCTCTGCTGGCAAACGGAGCTGCGCGAGAAGTATCCCAAGGATCTTTGTCCGCAGGAGGGCGGCGAAGATGTGCGGCAGCTTGTCACGTCTTTCGTGGAAAAGTTTCATTGCAGCGGCGGCAACGTGCCTCTGGAGCAGTGTCCCGTGGAGGTGAGTAGCTCCTTCCCAGCCGTGCTGGTCTGCGGTACTCTGCGGGAGGCGGAGGACCGGGACTCGGGCATCACCAAGCGGATGCTCACCGTACTCTTGGCCGCCCTGCGAGCGAACGGGTGCTTCGGGGCTCACGTGTGTGTGCCCGAGAAGGACGTCGGGCAGGTGAACTTTTATTCGAGGATCGGTTTCGTGGAAGTCTACCGCGAGGAGGCCACCAAGTGCATTTACATGGGTCGCCGCTTCTAGCGTTTTCGGATGCCAGCTTCACTGCCTCCACTTTTAATGTTCCTTCATCTTTGGTATTCCGGCTAGGTGCTAGCCACTCTCGTCTTTTCTCGTCCTCGTCCATTTTGTATTCCCCTAAGGTAACAAGTTTGTATTACTGACCAGCCCTTCTAGCATTTATCTTAAGCGTCGTTTTCATAACGTGGAAAACAATAAAGATACCAATTTAATAACACTCTCGCTAGCTTTTGTTCAGATCGTAGAACCACACGGTGTTCACCCCATCCTCGATGATCTTCACGTGCTGCAGGTTGGGCAGGGGGAATCGGCAGGCGATGATCTTGGTGTTGTGGGGGCACTCGGCGATCAGCTTGTGCTCCAAATCCTGCATCATCTGCTCCACGCCGAAGATGACCACGAAGTCGTAATCTTTGATATCGAACTTCCAGAGATCCCGGCGGAAGAACCTCGTCTGCTTGGATACCCCGTGGCGCAGGGCAGCCAGGCGGGAGTAGTAGACCAGCCATGGATTCAGCTCCACGCCGTCTGTTTTTAAAGCTTTATGGTGCTGGGCCGCCGCTGGAGAGGATTACATAAGTGATTTTGGCGGTTTGTGGGCTGTCCGGATGGTGGAAACTTACCCACCACGATGCGTCCGTCTCCGGATCCGATGTCCAGCAGTTTTCCGGCCGCGTTCTTGGGCAGGAAGCTCAAAACATTCTGTATTTGTTCGCTGGTGGCTGGCACATACGGCAGGCAAATCCTTCGGAATGCCGGGGCCACAAAGGAGGCGCACACAATCGACAGGCCAATGCCCACTCCTCCCGTGGCCGCTATCAGGATTTTCCCGCCCAAGGACATGCCACTTTTTGGAGTCCTAGACACTGTTTTCGTTGCATCTTCATTGAGAATTTCCATTTCAGTCGCGGGCTAAAATGTTGTTTACAAAATGTGTAAGTGCTACCACCCATTGGGAGGTAAAAATTCACTCATAGCTTATCGATAGTTGATGGTCGCCAGCTCTGCACAACAAGCCCCGATTATGGTCACACTAAACTGGTCGCTATTCGCGGATGTGGCAACACTTTTTTCGTGCGTTTCATGTGTGCGTGCGCTTCCTATTACAATTTTTTCGAAGGATTTTCCGTGTGTTTTGTTGACGTGCAGCGCGGCGGAAAGTGAAAAACGCAATCAAACAGTGCCGTGCAACAGGGCGGGTCAGCGTTTGGCATAAATTGCAGTGTGTGCCCCGCGTGCGGACAGGCGTAAGGCGTTTAAAATGGCGAACGTAAGGGACAGCGACACATCACTGTGGCTGCATAATAAACTGGGCACCTCGAACGACTCGTGGATAAACGGCTCGATCTGCTCGCAGCTGAACAAGGAGGTGCTGCGCAACATCAAGGAGTGCTTCCCGGACCTGCAGACCCAGGTCAAGCTGAAGCTCCTCCTCAGCTTCCTTCACATTCCGCGCCGTCTGGTGGAGGAGGTAAATGAAATCAAATGGAATGAAATGGCGTTGGTGTATTTCGTATGGAAAAAGTACACCAGCACACGCACACTCATGCACACATGCGAGCAGCGACACGCGCACACGTATACAGCGTACACTTGCCGTTGGTGAAAGAAAAAGTGCGGAAAATGTGTAAATACTCGGCAATTGTCATAGACCCCATCAGCTGGAGAGCCTTTAAAGTGTATTATCCGTTCAATTGGCGATTACCAAACGGGCGATTTCGCTGGCTGGCGAAAATAAATATTAGCAACGTTTCCCGCCACTTCTACTTTTGTGTACACATTTCTCTCTCTTCTACACTTGTGCGTGTGTTTCCCTCTCGCGGGTTTCAGTGTGTGTGAGTGGGCTGTTGTGGGTGGTTCGCGGATTCATTTGTTTGTTGTACCCTTTGCAATGGGTATTTCGATTTTCGGCAGGCATTTGTAACGCAGTGAGGGAACTCAGTTTACAAGATTTCGTTATGAAATTGGACTTCCATATGTGGATGTGTAGTTAAGTTCTCTATGAACTGTTGAATCCATTCAGCTTAACTTACTTAGCTTACAAACAATAGCATGTAAATCAAACCATTAGTGTGTTGCCATTTCTTATTGAAAAATAATAATGAAGAATTGATAATTTAGGATTAAGTTCATTTATATGTCATTAAAAAACCAAATTTAAAATCAGGCGACTATATTCATCTGCAAGGGTCTTAAACTATGTATGTCGAACCGGAATTAACATCTAAATGCGCTTTTCAGTGGAAGGCAGAGCTCGAGGAGGTAATCGAGGTGGCCGGTTTGGACTCAGAGCTATGGGTTTCCATGCTGGCGGAGACGATGAAGACCTTCCCGGCCACCAGCTCGCTGAACACAGAGATCTCCGACTACGAGGACACGCGTCCCATCTTTACAGACATGGTCAACGACCTGCGCAAGTTGGTCACCAAGCACTCGGACCTAGGCATGCTGCCCCTGGAGTGCCAGTACCTAAACAAGAACGCGTTGATCTCAGTGGTGGGTAGCGAAACTACTGTGATCCTATCTAGTCCCGACTAATCCATGTTTTGATTACAGGTTGGCCAGCAGCCCGCTCCCGTCAAGCATTTCACTCTGAAGCGCAAGCCCAAGAGCGCCCAGCTGCGCACCGAGCTGCTGCACAAGTCCGCGGATGCCCAGTCCTCGCTGAAAAAGGCCTCGGCGCCCACGATTCCGTTGCGATCGCGTGGCATGCCCCGCAAGATGACGGACACCACTCCGCTCAAGGGAATCCCATCGCGCATGCCCACCACGGGATTCCGATCTGCCACAGTGCCGGGAAACACAGCCCAGCGCCCCAATCTCAGTCGCACGCCCGCTGGACGCAAGGATGGCGGCATCAAGCTAATCGAGTTCACCGAACAGCCGCTGGGCTATGCGGCGGCCAAGAAGCGGAAGCGCGAGCAGCAATTGGAGGAGCAACAGAAAAAGCAGGAACAGAAACAGCAACAGGCGGCGGCGGCAGCAGCAGCGGCGGCCACGGCAGCGGCCACCAATGCTGGCGACAGCTCGCCAACGGACGCGGCCACGGCCAGTGGAGGAGAGACGCCCGTCACGCCAACGTCGGCTAACAATAGTTTCGAAATCAAAATGGAACCACAACTCAACCAGAGCGCTGGAAGCCTGGAAGAGCAGCCAGATGACGATTTGGCTGGCAAAACGCCTATGGAATGCGATCCCGAGACGCCGGAGTACGCCACAGCCACGCTGGACTTTGCCCAGGCCACCACAACGTCTGTGGCGGATGCTCAACCAGGAAAACCCGCAGCCGAGGTCAAGTTGAAGACGCCGCGTACCCCGAAATCAGCGGCAAAGTTGAACAACAACAACAACAGCTTCAATCACACCCCAAAACGAATCAAGCAGGAGATCGAAATCAAGAGCGAGGAGATTATAGTTCCCGCCAGCATCAAGCTGGAAAAGATCGAGTCTTCGCCGTCGACGCAGGGACAGCAGCAACGCGTCATCATCCAGCAGCAGCCGCCTAGCTTGGTGCAACGCACCCCGCACCTGCTCATCCGCAGTTCGCCACAGAAGCGGCCAAACAACGGAGCCACCACGAGCACAGGCACCACCACCACGGTGGGCAATACCACCATCAAGATGGAGAAGCTTGACATTAAACCCATGTTGCGAGCCACCGGCGTCACGCCCTCGACGAGTGCAGGCACTACGACGACTCTGCTCACCCCGCAGCAACTGCGTCAGGCGGCCAATCCGCTGGCAAACCTGCCCAACAACATCTCCGTGAAGATAACCTCTGCCAAGGCGAAAGCAGCGGCTGCCGCAGCGGCAGCTCCCAGTGGCAGCCAAACCCAGACACAGCCGCAAACGGTGCAGGTTCAGCAGGCGCCGCAGCAGTCGCAGCCCCCGCTTTTGATCAACAGCTCCACGCCCGTGATCCTTGCATCCTCGCCCAGCGCTCAAAGAGCGGTAAGTTGTGCAAGATAAAGTCTATGATGAAATCGTTATTTAATTTCAAATGAAAACCACTTTGGAATATATTATTATTCACTTTTTCTAAGAACTTGGATACATTTCAATTTGATTGTTTCCGTAAAACCAAATTAGGCGATCCGGTATATACCTATTGCTCTCAAATATAACTCAGTCTTTCACTGCTAATTACTTTACACCCTTTTTGTTACAGAAGGCTTTGGCCATGCCCAGCAGCAGTACCACCCCCACCACTACCACGACGATACCGTCGCAAGCCATAAAGACGATGCCGCTGAGCCAGCTGAAAACGGCTACCAACAGCGGACCGGTGATCATATCGCAGACTATAATCCAGCCGGCGAAGCGAGCCCAGCAACAGGCTGGAACCTCGAGTGCAGCGGCCGCTTCCCAGCAGCAGCAGCAGCAACAACAGCAACAGCAGCAGCAGCAGCAGCAACTGCTGCACCAGCAAATCCAGCAGCAGACCCAACAGCAGACTCAGCTGCCACAGCAGCCGCAGCAGCAACAGACGCAGTACATTCTGGCCACGCCTCAGCAGCAACCGCAACAGATTCAGCAGCAGCAGCAAACCCTGTTGCCAACGCTTACCTCGTTCTCACACAGTCGTCCTCTGCCGCAGACAACGACGCTTTACCAGGCCACCACTCCTGGCGGAAATGGCCAGACACCCACCAAGATACTGCTCAAAACCTCGGGCACATCAAGTGTGGTAATGACGCCTCTGCGCCAAGCTCAGCCGCAGCAGGCCACCACTGTGGTGTCCTCGAATCCACCACCTTTGGTGGCCACCTCGGCAGCAGTGGTTTCCCCCGGTCAGTCAAACACGTTGAACATTCAGAACGTGCAGCTTCCCAATCGGCCAGTGACCATTCAACCTGCCTCTCAGGCCGCGCAGCAGCAACATATGCAGGCCCAGATGCAGCAGCAACAACCCCATCCGCAGCATACGATCGTGGCCAACACGACGGCAACGCAGCAGCCCAAGCTGTCGCAGGTTCTGATGCAGCCAGCCGGAGCTGTGGCTGGTGGCGTGTCCGCTTTGAACGTGTCCCCCACGTCCGGCAAGAACAAGACCATCATACTCACCCAGAAGGGCGTTATACTGCGCAACATTGGTGGCGACATGTACCAGCAAATACCCATCAGCAATGTGGGCAACCTGCAGGGGCTCGGCGGTACCACGCTAATGACCACCACGGCTGGACCGCCGAGTCTGGTGAAGACAACACCCTCGACCGGAGTGCAATTGCAGCAGCAACAGCCTGGAAAGCAGATTCTGCCGACTCTCATACCAACCAGTTCCCTTGGTGGACAACATGTCATTGTGCAGCAGCAGCAACCCACCAATGTGATTGGCAATGTAAGTGTAATAGCTGAATATGTTTTCGGTAAAAATATAGAATTTGGAGATCAATTCCGTTCTGAAGGAAACCCTTATCTGTCAGAGATATTTAGGACACATGTGTAAAATATTAATATTTCTATCAGTCCCAGCAGCAGACCATCATTCGGCCTGTGATGACCAACGTGGGCGGAGGCTTGACCACGCTGCCGCAGGGCCTGACGCTGATACAACGGCCGGGCCAACAGCCGCAGCTGGTGCAGGTGCAGGCGGCGCCGGGCAGCACGCAGCGCACGATTATCACCCAATCGAGCACGGCGGCGGCGGCGTCGCAACAGCAGCCGCGCCAGCAGCAGCAACAGATTCTGGTCCAACACAAGCCGGCTCCGACCCTGCAGCAGCGTTTGGTCACCTCCACCACCAGCGGTGGCCAGGGTCAGCCGGGCAATCCGAATGCAGGGATCGCGCGCACCGTCCAGGTCCAGGTGCAGGCACAGCAGCAACCACAGCAACAGCAGGCTGCGCAACAGCAATCGCAGCAGGCACCGCAGCGACGTGGTCTCTCGCTATCGGTAGGATAACTATGTTAAATATGTTAAAATTTGATTTATCTCACGTGGTTTCTTTTAGAACGAGCACGTGCACAAGGCGCATGAAATGTTCCGCAAGGCGAATCGCGTCTCGCGACCGGACAAAGCCCTTATCCTCGGCTTTATGGCGGGACTGCGGGAGAATCCGCGTCCGAATACCGAAAATGTGCTGGTCATAAAATTGGGCGAAACAGAGGTAAGACTGTTGGAAATTTTTATAGTCGCCGTTTGGGGTTCACAATGCAATTCAAGTATGAATTGAGGAATTATTAATTGTAAAAAAAATCCTTCGAAAATTTGTTTAGATGTTGTACTTATACCTATACTACTTATGTTTGATGTCTAGTCTCCAACCTATTTTTTAGATTTCATGCAAATATATTTATTCAGTTTAAGCGATTATTTATGAGTATATGCAAATCCAAATCCAAATTCAAATGTATAATTCCCACCTGTTGAGTCCCGGCAAGCAACCATTTGATGTATCAAAACCATGAAGGGTTATTTTTCATAATTTTCTGTTAAACTGCATAGTTTATTTGGTGTTTCATATTTTATATGGTGGTATATACTTCGTTTATACATAATTTTCTACATCATTTTAGTAAAACATGGTTTTATTTTCGCAGGAAAAAGTACAACAGGAGGACGGCAACACGGCACTATGTCTGGTGGAGTCGCACATCCGGCTGGACTACAACACCGGCGAGTGGAAGACATTCCAGAACTACAGGCTACAGGATCAGAGTGCAGCCTCATAGTCCACAAGGGTCATACGCATTGTTCGCAGCACCAAGTGAACACCGACAGCCAGGCTGAAGCTGAACATGCGTATATGAACTATGGATTATATATATATTTTGGTTTGTCATCCGTTCTGCACGGGCTGCTTTGTCGCCGCCCCTAATTAGGCTATTGAAACCCCTTCTCTCCCCTCCTAACCCTCCCGCAGTCAGCAGGCACCCTAAGAATTGCTGGAAATAATGAAACTATTTAATAATTAAGGTAAATTAGCTGTACAGTTGTTTAGTATGTAGAAAAGGCTAGCGCTTAAACATTTAGTAAACATGCCCGTTCACATATCCACAAACCAGCGCCCATTCATCCAGACACACAGGCATATTCACCGCCGACTGAACGCTTCACTGGAGGGCAGTTGGAAAGGCGGATGGGCCAGAAGTGAACGTTCGGACGGATCGCATAAGCACACACAACACACAACACATGCACACACCCATGCATTTCAGATCTGCATATATATACCTAGCTTATGTAATTATTGTCGAGTAAAAAGTGTGTAATTATCTTAGCAAGCAGCATAAATTTAGAGACGCTGATCTGCGCTCGTTATTCATTAAAAATCCAATGAAAATATATAGTTATAGATATATATGTATGAGCCGCAGCAACCACAGCAAAATTAACTTAAATCTTGAAATGTGTAATAGAAAAACAATAAAACTAGCGTATGTATTTATGGCTTAAATGTTAAAACGGTTGGTTTTATATTCGAGACAGGAAAATGTGGGTCATGTAAACGTCAGCTCAGATTGCAAAACACTCGATCGATAGATCAATTTGATTACCAATAAGTCTTGCCGAACTAGAACCTGTATTGCAAAATACAAATATTGAAGAATTGATAAATGATACTTAACTTGTACGACATCTTTGAACCTCTTAAGAAATGTTTACAATCCAATATGGTTTACTAATTTCCAGCCATTATTAGAAAGTGCCTGGCCCTGAGCGCCAGTAAAACAACATTGTCGTTAATTATCAATTGTTATTTCTTTAATTGTCTCGAAATCGGAGGCTTACAACTAGTCAACACAATCTTACGAAACTCCTCGCTAAGTTACACTATGCCTAGGGCTAATACTAGGTGGTAGGAGGGCTATGCTAGTTAAATATAATACGTGGTGCGTGATAAATTCGCTGCAGATCTGGTTCGGTGATTATGAAGGCGCCGCGTCGCCCTACTTGGCCACCTCCTTCCAGTGGACGATGGCGCGCTGCTCGTCCGGGGCATCCCGGAAGGGACGGCTGCCGTCGGAGTGCACGTAGTCGTTCACCTGGAAGTTGAGGAGCGTCTTGTAGTGGTAGACGTCGGCCAGCTGCTGCGTCAGCGGACTGGTGTTGGTGGTGAAGATGCCGGCGAACTGCTTCTCGCGGGCCACCCGCAGCACCTCGTGCTCCATGAAGTGCATGCAGGCGATGTTCTCGCGGGGATTCAGATTCTCGGCGGTGCCCATCATGAACGAGTGCAGGATCTGGTTGAGGCCCTTGGGCAGGTAGTCGTCCCTGTTGAGGATATCAAGTTAGCACAAGGGACACTGAGCATTCGAGGACTAACTCACCTAATGGGACCCTCGCAGAACTCAAGGAACTCGAAGACAATGAGCAGCTTGGACTTGATGTCCACTTCGGGCTCGTTCCGCGCATCAAAGTTCAGCGCTGTGCCAATGATACGGTCCGTGTTGCGATCGTAGATCACAAAGCTCAGATCCCTCTCCACCAACTCGTTCCAGATATCCTGAGGAATTATTATAGAGGTATTACTTAGCTATGTGGCATACTAAGATATTTGTTTACTCACATTCAGGATATCGCTGTAATCGGTTCGCAGGACTCCAGGCTTAAGCCACTGCTCCAAGTCCGCCTTATTATAAAAGCTGGCCACAATGATGCTGCAACAGGGAATCCGAAATTAGTATATCAACTTCCTTTTAGATCTCTGCCCTCCACTACTCACTCGATAACTTCCTGGCGGTGATCCAGGCGCAGTGGCACCGCTTCCATCTTCAGGTGCGGACAGGCATTCAGGGACTCCTCCTCCAGCTGCACTGAGTCATGATTGGCCGCCATCCGCTCGATGATCTCGCCCAGATTCTTGGCTGCTATGAACTCAGAAATTCCGATGTTGTAGCCCTTCTCGCGCAGCAGAGTCACCGTGTAGATGGAGTTCAGCGAGTTGCCGCCCAGCTCGTAGAAGTTGCTGTGCGGGGCCAAAGTGGCCCTGGTGGAGCGTCCAATCACTCCACCCACTGTCTCGAAGAGATCCCGAGCCGTCAGTTTCAGGTCCTCGGGCACCTGGGAGTAATCAAAGTCCAGGACAATGCTGGAGTCGCCCTCGTTGTTGTTGGCCGTCTCGTAGGACTTGAGCAGCGCCTGGCGATCCACCTTGCCGTTCACCAGCAGAGGAACGTGCTCCAGGATGACGACCTGGGGCGTCATGTAGTCGGCCAGCTTGTCCTTGAGGCGCGCCTCCATCTGCATCTCGGTGACCATGGGGGCATCATCGCGGAGCTTGACAAAGGCCAGGATGGCCTGATCCACATGTCCGGCGTGGTAGCACAGCACAATGGCCTTCTCCACAAGCGGCAGCTCGGCAACGTTCTTCTCCACCTCGGAAAGGTCCACGCGATGTCCGCGGATCTTTACCTGGGAGTCGGTGCGACCCTCGTACATGATGCTGCCATTCTTCAGGGATCCGTAGTCCCCGGTGCGATACAGACGGGCGTATTCTGGCGAGGCAAAATTAATATAAGGTTTTAGGAAAACTATTCACCTTCACTGGAATATTACAAACAGTACACAGATAAAATTGATATGATATGGTGATCATTTTTATGAAATTCAGTATTAATTCTATCTAGAGAGTTCCGAATAATGCTTTGTCTCTCTAACTTTGAGTAACTTCAGGAGATTCTCGCTCGTATCTCTTTGTTTCGATTTATCATGCGAATATCAAATTGATCCTTATATGTCTTCTTTTCTGTATAGCAATAACTCTCAAAAGATATTTATGTAAATAGAAAAACCTACTCTTCTCCACAGCTAGTGGGTTCTCCAGGAAGCGCTCAGGATCGCGACCGTTCACATAACCAGCGGCCAAGTTGAGTCCCGAAGCGAAGATCTCCCCAATCTCGCCGTTCTTCACAGGACGATAGTCGGCATCCAGCAGATAGATGACGGTATTCGACACAGGAATGCCTAAAAGATGAGGATTCTTGGGTTATATCAGTCATTGAGAGAAACCTGGGATAGACCTCACCTATGGGCACATTGTCGTAGAGGCTCAGCTGCTTCTTGCTCTCGCAGGCAAAGAAGGTGACATCGCCCATTACCTCCGTGGAGCCGTAAAAGTTGTACAGCCGGTGCACGCCCTCGTCGAAGTAGTCGAAGAAGCTGCTGGCCAGGGCCACCGATAGGGGTTCCCCGGAGCAGACCCAGATCTGGAGGTTGTACAGCAGCTTCTGGGCAGCTCCTCCGCCCTCCATCTTCAGATACATGAGCAGCGATCGCAGGAGCGTGGGCACCAGCACCAAACGCCTGATCTTGTAGCGCTCCAGCAGGGCCACCAGTCGCTGGGGGTCCTTAGTCACCGCCTTGGGCACCACCAGGATGGCCAGGCCACACATCAGCGGACCCCAGAGCTCGGCGATCGAGTCCACAAAGGTCAGGGCCGTCTTGAAAACGCTCACTGCCTCATTGGATGTGTAGGGAAAGGTAGCCCACTGCCACTGGAGCCGGTTGAGGATGCTCTCGTGCGGCAGGCGCACTCCCTTCGGAACGCCCGTGCTGCCCGAGGTGTAGAGCACGATGGCGATGTGGTCGTTGCCACCGCGTAACATCTCCTCCGAGAGCAGATTGGAGCCGGCCAGCTGGAGGGATTTGGCATAGAGCTCGGTGGCGGAGAGCGTGGGGGTTCCCTGGAAACGGCCCGCATCGATGCAGTCATCGCGGACCACCAGAGTGGGCTTCGCCTCCAGCAGGATGTGATGGATGCGGTTGGCCGGGAAGCTGGGATCGATGGGCAGATAGGCGCCGCCTGCCTTCCAGATGGCCAGCAAGGTGGTGACCAGTCCCTCCGACGGCTGCATGCACACGGCCACGATGTAGTCGCCATCGCTATTAGGCTGCAGGAAGCGTCCATGGGTCTCGGCCACCAGGAGGCGGGCTGCCCTGTTGGCCCGCTCGTTCATCTGCCGGTAGCTGCTCTGACTGGGCGCCATTCCGTGGCCCGGGGTGTCCGGCTGATAGAGGGTGGCCACCTTGTCGGCGTGCCGCAGCTGCTGCTCCTCGAAGATGCGGTGCAGAGCTCTCGGCGCAAAGTCCTGTTGCAGACCCTTGACAATCGACAATTGCGGCAGCGAACCCATTTTGAAGTTGTGTTACCTGTGAAGTGGGTTATGCAATAGAGTTAGCTTCGAAGTGTAAGCTTAGAACTTGAAAAATCAAGTTCAAGTCTATGGACTTTAAAGTTATTTATCATTCTATGACTTGAAACAATAGGTCCAAGTGGCGCCATTTACAAGGGAAATGTTAGAATGAATTCCATGCATAAAATGCCACCAGTAAAAAGTAATAAAAATGTATTAAGCAATTACCAAGCCGAAAGCAATTAGGACTAAGCACATCACCCTGAGATTCTACAAGTTACATCATCGCTCCCAACTTTTATTATGCAATGCGGGTTATTGGCTTATTGCCTTGCGGTAGCAATTAAACTCATTCATACATGCATATTTATAACGCTTCGTGTTAATAGAGCGCTCACACAATAACCCATTATTATGAATGAATATTAAACCTGGCTTAAACGGACGACTTCTGGTAAGCTTTATTTGTTCAATTAAATTATTATTATTCTCTTAAGCTGCAATAACTCTTTAATTATATTCTCTTCAGCTGCAGAAACATTGCAATGATTGCTAATTATAGGTTAGAGGGTAGTCCTAGCTATTTATTGATTTTAAAGTAGGCAATATACATATTTAATAGAGTAATCCATGAGTTGCAAAGCAGTTTTTATGTTTATTTCTATTTTGTTTGTTGCAAGTGCTTGCCAACAGCCCCATGTAAATTTAAATTACGGCGACGTTTTTATCTCTGCGCTTAGCACCATATTTTTCCCTAACCTATCAGTCATACTTTTGATACAGGTTTGCTTAGTCGGAGAGTGGAGTCCCTCCTTCAGATATTTACTATTATTACTTAATGCATTAGCATAGCCACCTGCTTGTCTATACTAATTACGGCCGGGTTAATCTATGTGGGCTTATACTATAAGTTGAAATCTGTTCCGCCTTTGGCACGTTTTCCAGAGCCTGTTGCAATATCGTAGTATTTTCATGAAATACTAGGCATTGTTGAATTAAATGTCCATTTATTTGCTTATATACCCAATATTTCTTCAAGTTAAAGGAATTTAGTTTAGGATTTTATAGCTCGGTCGTTGGATTTGGATGGAAGCCTAATCAGCCGCTCCGAATGCGGCATGCTAACTCGTTAATTGCATTAAGCCAGCCAATTGCTGAGCCACCGGTCATAAAATTGAAGCAATCGCTGGCCCAAGATTGCTGGAGGTCTTTGAGCTGTGCCAGCCTTATGTTCATGTTCGTAAAGTTCCATTGGCGTGTCATAAAGCCCAGTTAAAATGTCATTGTGCCGACCATTTCTGGTCTCCGAGACCGCAGTTATATCTGTATCTACTACCTGTATCTGTATCTGATTCTGCTTGACTCCAATGTCAAGCACTCTAATCCAAAAACATGAAGACAGGCAGTCGTCTGGAGGCTCAAGAACGGCAATTACCCCTGGCCTTAGCTCTAATGTTAATCTCTGATTTGGTTTTAAAATGTGATTACATTTAGTACTAGACCTTATTAAAAGACTCCGATCGGGGAAGTGGCCTGTTGCCACTGGGAAAAACAAGGTGGCCAGGAAGCTTCTTGGGCCAGGGCTCCATGAATTATTCAACTGCTTCCGCTTCTTCTCCCTGGTGCGGGAGGAAATGGACTGGAAGTGGAAGTGGAAGCAAAGGTGGAGGCTAGTTGTAACCATCGCGGCTGCCGAGCTCAAAACAAGTTATACTTCAATTGCGCAATTGTGGTTCTGGTTTTCGGACCTGCTTAATTCTGAATTCTCAACCACTGGCATACATTTTTTGGCAGCCGAGCAATTTACAACGGTTTACGGGGCGTATACGTAATGAATTCAAGGCTAGGCAGAAATCATTTCCCAAGCGCCCATTACGTATGCGCCGTGTGAGTCCAATTAGTCTGTTCACTTGCATACACTATATACTCGAGTATATCGTAGTCAGCATATAGCCAGCCCCTGCATATATCGTATCTGCATACAATGCTGGCGAAGTCCATTGTTTTGGTCCCGCCACTCGAGTGCATTCTTGAGCCCCCTTGGTTTTCTTGGCATTTCACATCATCGATTTAATGCATCCAGCGACTTCTGTTCACCTTCGCTGCCTCCGTTGATGAGGTGAAATCCATGCGGCTGATTTAATGTTATTACTGTTGCCCCTGTTTGCCATTAGATCGTCGAAAAAGCCATTAAAAACTGAGGTGGCCAGCAGTCAGTGGCCAGTACCAGTACCAGTGGCTCGATTGAAAATCATTTAAGACTGACACTGCGAGTGCTGCCTTTAATTTTCCGCCCCAAGGTTGCACTGGTGTTAGAATGGATTGCAGTTGCTTCTGAGGCTCTGTGGTTCTGGCGCCTTTGGAAAATCGTTCCATAATTATCACCGTGCCGTGTAATTTGTAATTTACATAATTATTGCCTGCGTTTCGGCTGGGTTGAATGACTGTTGCACTTGGCAGATCAACAACATTGCCTAAGGTCGCTGGGTTTATCTGGTATCTAGTATCTAGTATCTCGAAATGTTTCCGCTGGCGATTCCAAAGAGTGTGGCTAATTAATTTGTCGAACCGTCGTGGGAGGCGGTCAAATCAAAATACATCAGTTCTCTCTGCTCTTTTATTGGATGGATTACTATGGTTTGTTGTGTTTTTTTTCTGCTCCCTCGACTGATTTGCTTAATTGAGTAAAAAGCGGCTAATTTAAGCCATGGTGGGGCGCACTCTATCTGCACGACTTTGGGGTCGTCCCCGGTGAGTGTGATCTGTTTTTGTCCGAGCGGAGGTTTTTCCCCCGCCGCCGCTGACATTTTTCCGCAGTATTTCCGATTGTGAGTCAATTGGATGACAAGTCCCCGTAGAAAAAAACTGCACTTAAGAACACAAACAACTGGCAAAACTAACGATCTCTGCAAAGAGTCTGGGAATCAATCCGCATGCTCATTAGCGAGCCAAGTTCAAGACGGCGAATGCAAATTGTGCACCATAAAAACCGCTTGTAAACGATATGCGACACCCGTTTAGCACGTACTTAACATAATTAATAGCCGATCGCCCTGGCCAATGACTCAATTGCAATTATAAATCCATCACTGCCGCCCATAAGTATACACCGCGTTGGCCGCTCTTAATAGCAGTTCACAGATGTGGAGCAGGTGATTTGTTCAGCACGCCAAGACAAATTAAATGTCATTTGCGGGATACTTATGCTAGCATTTAATGTGCCGATGGTTTGTCTAACAAGTCAAGTGGCTGGTTAAGAGCCAGGTGCTAAACGGTATGAAAATAGCTGGGGATTCTGAGAAAATTGAAGGCTGGGATCTTTGTTTTGCCCCCTGGGGCCATTACCTTTTATGACCCAGCCCCGCCTTGAAAACTGTTTGCCTTTTGCATTTCGAGAGTGCATTCTCAAGGAGTGAGGCGCTTAGCAAATCAAGTTGGCTTTTTATTTTAAGCATTTCGCTTACTTCCCTTATGAAACTGGTTTCTGTAGAATCCAGAGCAGGTCTCATCTTCTGTGAGATACGTTAAATATCCACATATGTTATTATAGGAAGGGGTTTTTTAATGCTAGAAAACCCACCAATAATTACTTAATTAAAACTCCAACAAAACCTTAGCCCACTAAGAATCTCCGACGAGTGAAGCGCGGAGAAAACAGTTTTGTTCCATCCATTATTTTGAAGCTAAAACTAATTGCATTTTTTGTTGTTCCTCAGCCTAATGAATTTTATGTTCTTTCTGTCGGAAATGATGTAACTTGGTAAAATAATGAGGAGCTTGACACGGGCATTAAATTACGCGAGAATTATTTTGTTAACTGCTCCCCAACATGCATGGCAAGTCAATTTGCATATTAGGTAATTTCGGGAAAGCGGTTTTACGGAATCTTGATAAATACTTGATTATCACGTATACGTACCGTGGGTATCCAAAAATTCTGACACTTGATAATTTGAACAGTTGTTGCGTTACTCTTTCAAATGTTTATCTGTGGCCGTTTGACACTGAGCACGTTTCTCTTGATATATCTATGTTTTTTTTTTTTTTTTGCTATCGATCAAGTGAGTCTACCAAAACTTCCTTTTTTTGGTCACTTCACTGGCGTTTCACTTTGATTTTGGTGGACAGCCAAAAACTTGCAACGCGTGCTATGTACTTGTAAACGGCGCTCGCAGACTAATCAGAATCCCAGCACCCGACTATCTTATATATCCGACCGATCCGCCGCAGCCTCGGTCGCCGCGGGCTGCGCAGTCGCAGTCGGCTGGCGAAGAATGGCAGAGCAGCGGCAGAGGCCAGAATGACAGAAAAAAACCAGTTCCTGCTCTTACAGCCGCTGCAATTACCGCTCACAGCATACTACATATAGGTAGTATAGTGTGTGGCCTGTGTGTGTGGCTGCCAGATTAGAATTCGCATCGCCTCAGTTTGGTCGCCATTTTCAGCAGGCCTGCCTCTGGTGACGTAGGAAATGAAATGAAATTCCTGGCGGTCCCCGCACTCACTAATTGGCAGGCAAAACACACAGTTTGGATTACTATTTTTCTGCCCACCAGACGTTTGGAAATCCCTCGCATGACACACAACTAAAAGCGGTTCGAGGAAAGTCATAGACAGCTCTGATTGAGCACACTAGAAAGCCGCTTGGAAGTCGATTCAAACTGGACTTGGATTTCAAACGAGCAGGAGGTATACAGTACAGAACATGTACATAAATTTAATTAATTTTTGAGATAATTATATTGGAAAAAATATCAGCTGTTTAGATTTACATACTTAAACATAGGGCTTACAAGTTTTACGAAATCTTTGTCTGAGATCTTATAAGAATGCACATTAATGCAACCTTTGCCAAGTAAAAATTGAGTTTAAATATTTTGTTTTATTTTAATTTGTTATAAAAGAACAACTTTTTGATAAATTAAAAGTAAATTTTAAAATGGCACCATTTATATTCTTCATCACAGGAACTTAAACCAGTTACTACTGTGTTATCGATCTATTAAGCTGAGCCATTTATTAAAAAACTTATACCGTACTCACTTTCCTAAATTAATATTGTTTGTCTTTTTGAAGTAAATAAGCTCGTTGGAAAAGTATTTGCTTTAAATTATATATGTTCGATTTCCGGAGACATAGTTCTGTGATATAAAGTCACTAAAATAGATAGTCAGAAAGTTATATTTAAGTAATAGAATTTCGTCTCTATTTTGGATTACAGATTTAGGGTCGTTTTCTCGTTCACATGCTAAATTTAAGCCAGGTTTAAAACATTGAAAATGGTAATTCATAGATAAAGGTGTACTTTAAGCTAAACATGTAGACGAGAAAATTTCTGCTAGCGGACCTTAGCATGTTTGATTAAATCGCTGAAAGGTAATATATATGGTAAATGCAACCTTAAATAATTCCAAGTTTATTTTACTTCCAGGAGAGTTTGCAAGCTTTTTTGTATCGAGGTGGTGAATGTTGGAATACCTTATAACATTGTTATCTAAACGGATTTTTTTTGTACCCAGTTTAAGTGGCCAGATTCTTCTCATTCTATTCAGTTCGGACTAACAAATCTCATCTGATATTGCCATTTAAGGCTCAATTAATCTTTGAACTTGACTGTGAATGTGGGTACAACTTTATTACTGCCAACGCCTATTAGACATTGCGAAATGGTCGAATTTACGACTGGCCATGTCTGAGGAGACTGTGGCCAAGAGCGATTGCAACTACGACATTTAATGGGGATTTGATTGCTTGTGCTTCGTACCGTGCGAAAGTAGAATTGCAATTAAGAATTGAATTTCAAATAAAGCTAGGATCGAAGTGGATGCAATTTGTAGATCGATGCTGTAGCTGTCAGTCAAGTCGATCTTCATGCTTATAAGTAGGTACATGTGAGAGGGACTTCTCTACGGCTAACGTATGCTGGCAGTCATGTTTTCCCATTACAAAGTCGGTGTGAAAATTTGCAGTTAAAGTATGACAGCGAGGCGCCTGTCCCCTGACTTTTAAGTCAATCATTACTCAATAGATACACCGCTTTTTAATGCAGTGGAGCTCGTTGAAATCTCAGAACAAAGTGGACTTCATAAATAGTAGACAAGTATCGAAGTCGATCATTGTTTGCAAAGCCAAGGTTAATCAGTTAATTGATTAAATGCTCAAAGAAAGTCCATGCCCATTCAAATGTTCAGGAATCCGAAAATATTACTATGTGTATCCAATTGATCGACTATTAATTAGCAAGTTATGGGTGTTCCGCACAAGAATAAACTTTAGCAGAAATCCAAACTGAGATGCGGGTAAGAATTTGGAGCTGTCAAATGGCATCATTACCGCACAATGTGGTCTTATTTGCATTTATATGAGTTTGATTTTATAGAATATAAAATATGACAGCTTGATCGGTTCAATAATTAATTTATGAGCTTCAGAATGGTTAAGTCAGTGACTTTTAATTTTAATGGCAGGCATTAATTAACGTATAAACAGACAATAAATGTAAATCTAATAGTTCTAATAGTTTTTATTAAATTCAATTTCCTTTTCATTCGATTTTAACCTCAGAATGAGCAACTATAACCAACAATATAAGTTGCTTTCATAAAAATAATTGTCGGCCGTTTAACAACTTCAACGATAGTTGCATTCGCTGTTGATTGACCATAAAAATTCCGAATTCTCCTATACATTGTAAGCGTCCATTAAAAGTGCAAACTTCCTTTATTCAATTGCTCAGCCAATTAAACGTTCTGCATTATAAGTAACACAGTGGAATGCTGAGCATAAAAAACGCCACATTGGGGGACTTTTTACTGGACTGAAAAAAAGGATTCACACGGAAATTTGGGACACAGTTCTTAACTGGAGTTTAATGGGGGTTTGACTTCAAAGATCTGTGATTCACTCCCGAAAGTGTTATGGCATCGGACTGCTGCTGATAAGGTGATCTGCAAGAGCGGCTAATTAACTGATTACTGACAGTTAATTGGATCCATTAAAGGTAGCCATTAAAGGTAGCCATAAAGAGGGTGTGTCCAAGCCGATAAAAACTAGCCCGCTGTTCTCCCATTTACATAATGGTCCGTTGGCTTCTGGTGGAGGCAAAGATTCATATCGATGAATTCACACCCCAGTCACGTTTCCAGATCGCAACGTCAGCGACCGTGAGGAGGCATCTTTGGAACCGGCTAGTAGTCGGCTGATTCGAGCTGATTTTAGCTGATCCGAGCCGATCTCGCGCATCCGGACTTCCCCAAAAAGAAAGTGTGACGCATCCGCTTTGTCGGTTGGACGATTCTACGAACCGAATCGCTGGTCGGTAACAATCTTCTTATTTGTTTTTGTCGATTCGCGTGATTTGTGATTTTTAAGGCACACTTGTGACGTGATAATGCTGCCGCTATTGCACAGCAAAAAATCCCCGAAATCAAGTGTTTGTTTACATCGGAATAATAGCTTTTGATCTGCACATTGATATTCTAACCAAGAACATGGAAGTTAATACGTTTTAACACTTCCTTTCGATAGAAAATAAAAGTTGTAATTAAAATAGACATTGATTGATGTTAATTCAAACTTGATAATCAGAATATATAATTAAAATAGGTAATGATGTTGCTCAAACTTAATTTTTAGAAAATATTATATTTCTTAAGGGGGTATTCTAGTCTAGAAATTTAAAAAAATCTAAAAATTTTTTTTTCATAATTCGATAGTTTAGATATTCAAAAATATCTCCCTAATCGGATTTTTCAAAATTCAAATTATTTTTAAAATTATGGCTGATTAAGAGAATGTAAGTTATACGTGTCAGTTAGACCGCCTGAAATTTAACGTAAAACTTTAAACGCGTTTTTCTCAAAACTACTTTTTCTGATACGGTAGCCATAATATTTCAAGTTCTAATCAGCCGATTTACTTAAAATTTGGCATGAATATTCTTTCAATATCTCTCTATCGCATGAACCAACAAAAATTAAGAATTTAAAATTTGTAATATTTTTAAAAAATTCGATAAAATTAAAAAAATAGTAAAAAAATCGAGTGGCCGCCATTTTATGAAAAAAATTTTTTTTTTTAGTTTTGCTGGTTTATGACATAGCGACATTCGTACTGATTAAGAATCTTTTTTTTTTTATTTTTAAGATGACCACAAGGGTAGAAATCATGGCGACGAGGACACGGCCTTTTTTTTTCCCCCTCTACTTCAAGGACGCATAGCTCGATGAAAAAAAAAATTTTTTATTTTTAATTTTATTTTATGTACTCTTCTAAGTTAAATAAACAAATGATAAAAAACCCGACACTAAAAATATCAATTGTTTAGTTTTAATTAATTGTTAAAAAAGGCTCGAAACCAGAGCCTCTACTATAGACTAGAATACCCCCTTAAGTGGCCCTTATGGGCTTATCACTATTTGATGTGATAATACTTTTAGGACAGGATAGTTTGACTTTCCAGACTGATTTATTAAGCAAAACTTATTCAACCATAAACTAAACTAAAACCTATAAACCTCGTTTCCTTTTTCAAAATTATTAAATGCAACTGATAAACAAGCTTGTCAATCTAAGATAGTACAAGTAAATTAAATATAGTATATAATATATATTTTTGGATCTATGTCCATTTGGATTTTTATTAGGTAAATATATTAGATTGAGGTCTTTAGTTTCTTTCAGTGTGAATTTGCAGGAGGCAGTCGAACTCGTTTTCGCCGCGACAAGTATTTCCCTAAACAACTCGACGCGGGATAATTTACTGTTAAGAACAGCCGGCGGTTATGGCTTTCGAGTCGAATATATAACAAACAATTCGACGGCACTGATTGCTTTCGCGTTCGGCTGATCGACTCTTTTGATGTTGTTGTGATCTGCGACTGTGATTTGGCCTTTTTCGATTAGCTCCGCTTTGTTACGCATACGTCGTGTTGAACATGACAACATGACAATGACAGCGACGCTTTTTGTCGACATGCGTGCCGAAATCAAAATCAAAGCCAAGACCAACATCAAAACCCTAACAATATAACCATCTTAATCGCGGACGTGTCGAGTGCCCGGCGGATAATTACTTGCAAGAATCTGGTCCCTGCACTTACGGAAGTCCCGGGCACTTCCACCAGCCGGTCAGCTGGGCCAATTCTAATTGAATTACGCGGCCAATTAAACGATCATTAGAGCTGCAGCCCGAAGCCACTTGATCAGAAGGCTGGTCTATCTACGGACAGTGACATTAATGGATAGGCGTGGTGGCGGAGACGGGCCACTGGTCATGTTAGATGCAAATTTGCAAATGTCGCAACATGTTAATGAGGGGATTGTAAATAACGAATCTAATTTCTATATATAGTAGGTAAAACCACCTGAAAACTTGAGAGTCCAGCCATATTTCAAAGATAAGCGTGAACCAGTAAGCCTGCTGTCATTATTAATATTAAATGGGTTTTTTTTACGTTTCTTAAGTTGAGCATGGCCCACCAAACACGTCCCTAACTTATCTCCTGCGTTTTAGCCTAACAAACTTTTCCTGAGAATCCGATTGTGGCAATAGCTACTCAGAAATTATCCATCACGCAGTAGCCACATGGAGATAGCATTTCCCCACATCGTATATTATTGCCTCATTGGGGGGTTCTTAGGAATTCTTGCTCTAAGTTAGTATACGGATAAGATTATTTAAGGAAAGCAGCTAACATACAGCCAAACTAAGTAAAGACAAGTCGTGGAACCTTACAGCTTCCGGAGTTCAGTTTGATCATTTCTACATTTCTCAAAAACATAAAGAAAGTGCTAATAAGGACGCATCATTGACATACGATGGAAAGTAGAAAATTACGGTTTTCTTTCTATAGAAACCCTGTGGATAGCAGAAGAAACAAGTTTTCTAGCAAAATAGAGCAGTTAATATAAATGAATACATTAGCAACGCTTGATTTTAATTAAAGTTTCAATGATTCGAATGTTTGAAAGCTAAAACGCCTTCCATGATTTTTGAATATTTTAAATTGTTGCTTCACACTTTAATCTGAAACAGTGTCTCCCAAAATGTATAATACTGCATTTAAAATGCAAATTGGACATCGCACAATTTTATCATATCACGGACTGCATTTATCCCGACCTAAAAAGCTTTTAAGATTAACTTTTCGCAGTCAAATCAAGCGAATCATTAATGTTATAGCCTTCAAAAATTTTGTTATAATTGACCATGATCAAAACAATGTTTGAGGTGCGTTACTGAAGGGCTACTGTAGGCTCTTTGAGTATTGATATTAGTATCGATAAGATTGATGATGAGTTGAAAAAAGTTATCGTGTTGATTCTGTAAACAACCAACTTGTTCGTAAGGCATAACTGTAGATTAGTACTAAGGGTTAACACCAAATCATCGTGAACCTTGCAAGGGTAATGACTATTATAAAAGGTTAGCTGCAATCCAAAGGCCGATCATTCGATTGCAAGCTGGTCGTCGAAATGGCCAGAAGTCTATTACTCGTTCTACTATTGGGCGTTGCCTTTGGCAAATCCGATGTTCCAAATATGAAACTTACGGACGGCGAAATCAAGGATATGACGGATTATCATCGTCTAAGCAGACTGCGACATTTGCCAGAAGAGTTCTTCAGCTACTATCAGACAATAACGATTTCCGATCTAGTTCCAGAAACCAGGCAGCTCACCGCGCAGGACTTACAGTGTTATGCTTAGTTTGCCCAGTTAACGGTAGGATTATCTTCAGAAGTCTATGGGCCTTCAAAAGAATGTTTATTGAATGACAAGGAATGATCGTCGCATGGGGATCCAAACCGGCGGGAATCCTAATGGGTCACCTCAAAGACTTGGGTCATTATGAAGAGTGCGCGAGAATTGATCAGGCCATCGGATCCAGTTTTAATATCCAGGGCAAGTACTGTCTTGCCCAGCTGCCTCTGCAAGAGTTGCTGGGAACTTTTGGACTATTGAGTTTGATCGGTCTTCAGACAGCTCTTTGCTTCCCCGCTTCGTGTTCTGCCTCGAATATGGACACTCTGCAGCAAAGGGTATTTCAACAACTCCTTGGTGTCCAGTTGAACTCAAGTTTAACTCTGGTCAAGGAGAGCACCTGCAAGACGGCAGAGCGAGAATCTCTTGATGGGCTTACCATTTTCGCAATGTAAGGGTTATAAACTCCTGAGTTATGAGTCATGCATTAAGCTCTGTTTTATTTTTTTTAGCATATAAATATATATATTTTATATTGAATCTTAAAAACAGTAGGTTAAGACGCCATTCATTGAGTTCATTTATGAAGGAGTTTTCGCAATGGATACATTCTTCTTCCTCAGTGGTCTTTTTGTTGCTGTTATCTCGTTGCGTGTTATGGAAAGGTAGGTCTTCAAAATGCTATTTGTTTCCGAATGTTATCCTATATATGTTTATAACAGAGCTAAGGGAAAACTGAATGTGCCGTTGATGTATCTCCACCGATATCTTCGCATTTCTCCCATGCTTGCAGTGGCCATCCTCGTCCATCTGAAGTTGCTGCCCCTCGTGGGCGACGGTCCATTGTTTGGCCAGTGGAACTTTGACAACAACGACAACTGCAGGGAAAACTGGTTCTGGACCCTGCTCTACGTTCAGAACTATGCCACTGACAGCGAGGCATTTATAAATGGATTAAATAAGAAATAAATTTATTAATTACCTATTCGACCCTCCAAAGTGCCTCATTCAAGCCTGGTACCTGGCCATCGATATGCAGCTCTATATCCTGGCCCCTATTTTTCTTTTCGCTGTCTTTAGGTGGGGCAAAAAAGGAGCTGTTCTGCTTCTTTTACTTATTCTAGCTGGCTTCAGTATTAACGAGTATTCACTGTAAGTGTAATTTTTTCCATGAGGCCATGAGTTTTTTTTACAATACATCTTTACAGAATAACACTTAGCGCGGCAACTTCCCAAGGGGTTTCCCATCACACCCACAATCGGGCCTCTGGAGGGTTGGTGGGCTTCCTTTTTGGCTACTTCCTACACTCGATCCGTGGAAGGAGCTTTAAGTTGAGTCGTCCTGCAGTCTGGGCGGGATGGATTACCACTCTGGCCTTCTTCTTTAAGCATCGGCAAGAGCAAGTCCCTATCTGCAGTTGCCGAGGCCTTTTATATATCCGTATCTCGTATCGCCTGGCCTTTGGATCTGAGCTTGGTGGTGTTTGCCTGCATGCAGGGATATGGGGGACTGGGCAACTCCTTTTTGGCCTCTCCATTGTGGCAACCACTCTCAAAGTTGTCGTTTAACGTCTACATTTGGCATCTTTTCACGCAGAACCTCAATGCGGGACGTACTCGCGTGAACACCTACTTTTCCGATTACGATGTGGTGAGCGCTTAGCAACTAACTCTTCAAGTTTATCTTTACTATCATATCTTTTACTTTTAATATTATGATGATATTTATAGATGCGGCGTTTCTGGCAGGACTTTGGGTTTTCGGTGCTGCTCGCTTTTGTAATGTACATCCTAATCGAAGCTCCTTGTGGCGTTTTGGAGACATTATTACTTCCTAACCGAAGACCTGCTTCCAAACCCACTGATGAACACCTTCTAGAGGTAGCCCCGGAAGCCTTGGAAACGCCTGAAGAGGTTGAAAAGCAAACAGGTCCTTTTAATCCCAAACAAATAGAAAGGCAATTAAGTTATATGGGCAAACCTGACCTTTCTTTGGGAAACACGTGCCCCTAATATAGCTCTACTTATTTCATAAGATGTGTTAAATGTGAATTATGTGATCAATTACAATACCATTAAAGATGCAGACTGATTTAGCTGACCATATATTAATGGTGACAAGTGGCAGCGACTCCAGCTGATCACTTTTCAAGTCGATCAAGTTCCACGCGAAACCAGCCGCATGTAAATGAACTAATTGCAAAGATCAGATTATTAAGATATACGTGCTATCAGCTTTCCGGACTGATCGCCTCTACTTAATCAGAAAGTCATAAATAGCACATAGAAACCCACTCGACCAGCCACAAGCGTGTTCTATTTACCAGACATGGACAGATAAGAAAGTGAGTTGCAATATATTAATACCAGGTAATGGTTGGTTTTTGGACCGTAGGAATTGTTTTCAAGTGGGCAAGGTCGAGGAACCCCTGTACACTTCTTATCCCTATTTGGTATTCCTCTTCGCACACCACCGATACACGAAGTACACATTATGACCTTTAATTCCGCGAATTACTTTGGAGTTATTATTAGTTTATTATTTATATTAACTTAAAGTGTTTTTAACTACACTAGCACCGGAATTGTTCTGCGTCGATAAGATAATCACACTCGACCCCCGTAATATGCAAAAACAAAAGTTTCTTAAATGATTTTAATCAAAATAATAAATTTTTTTGATTGTATTTAAAGGTATTTCCGAAGATTGCGGAGTCACGTTAACATAGGAAGGGGGCTAATCGAAAGTCACCATATATTACTAATCCTTATCTCAGACAAACACTAGACATTGCTTATAAAAAGGGTCGCTCCAGTCCGGATGCCAAATATTCGGCGGTCGGACGTCTACAGAGATGGTGAAATTAACACTAGTACTGCTTCTTTTTGGCCTGGCCATAGCGAGTGCCCTCGATCTGGGTCCAGCCCAAGGCTTGGAACTGGATGCAGAGGATTATCAGAAATTAAACAAACTGAGGCATTTGTCAGAAGAGTTTTTTACCCATTACCGGAATGTAACAATAGAGGACTTGGTCCCCGAAGGACGACTTCCCACCGTTTCGGATCTACTGTGCTATGCGGATTTCGCTCAGCTTACCGCAGGATTGGCCACCGGCAGCCTTTGGTCCTACAGAAGTAAGTGATAGGTGAAGTGAAATTGTGAGTGGAGATTTAAAAGATCTCTTTGCACAGTGATTGACTCCTGGGGTTCCATTCCGGCTGGAATCCTGAAGGGTCACTTCAAGGACCTGGGTCACTACGACGAGTGCGTTGCCATCGAACAAACCGTCGCATCGGGCTCCACTGTGGTTGGAAAATACTGCCTGGCCAATCTGCCTCTGACGGATTTTATTGGAGGTGGTGTTGGGGGTGGCTTCTCGAATCTATTGAATATCCAGTCGGCCGTTTGCTTCCCCGCCTCCTGTTCGGCCACCAATATGGACACACTCCTGAAACGAGTCGTGAAACAACTGATCGGATTGGAACTGACATCGAGTATGGTCAGCGAAAGCACCTGCAAAACTGCTGAGCGTGAGGAATACGATGCCGTGACCATTTTCGCCATGTAAGTTATAAATTTATATTTTTTAAGATTTTACTTTATTTATGTGTTTCATTTACAGCGTTTTTTTTTCTGTGTTTGGCGGATTGGTGGTTCTGGCCACACTCTACGACTATTTCTTGTGTGAGGATCAAAGTAAGCATATTGATTTTTCCACATAGAAAAACACCTCTCTATATTTTTATTATATTTGTAGAAAAACTTCCTGCTATCGTGAAGGCTTTCTCCGCTCGTGCCAATTCCCGATTTATATTCACTGTTAGTACCAAGTCCAATCCCAATGTTGTTGAGTGTCTTCACGGACTGCGTGGAATGTCCCTGATTTGGGTGTGTTATGGTCACGACTATCTTATTGGTATCACCTCCCCCAACATCAACCTGTACGATGTGTATACTGTGAGTAGGAATATAACCTTTAAAGGAAATTAGCTAAACTTATTTTGTATTTCATCAGTGGGCCAAGACACCTTATATGGAAATTATCCAAGAAGGCGTGTTTGCAGTGGATACCTTCTTCTTTATAAGCGGACTTCTCGTTGCCATGGTCGCTCTGCGTGCGATGGAAAAGTGAGTAATCTATTTAACCTAGCCCCGACCTTCCTATATCTACTATAATCATTTAAGGTCCAAGGGAAAGCTGAATATTCCACTAATGTACCTCCATCGCTATCTGCGCCTCACACCCGTCGTGGCAGCTTCTATCTTGCTCTACTGGAAGATACTGCCCCTTTTGGGCGACGGCCCGCTCTTCGGCAACTGGAACTTTGATAACTACGCTACCTGCGATGAAAACTGGTATTGGACCCTGCTTTACATTCAGAACTACGCCACCCATCAGCAGTGCCTGGTACACACATGGTACCTAGCCATCGATATGCAGTTGTATATCCTCGGTCCTTTCCTGCTGCTCATCGTCTACAAGTGGGGTAAGAAAGGTGCTGCGGTTGTCCTGCTAATTACTCTGGGATTCGTCGCCTACTTGTTCAGCGTTATGGTGATCAACGACTATTCTCTGTAAGTTTTGCTTTCAACCCTATGTTTAGGAGTCTTACTAATGTCTTTTACTAAAAACAGATTAAATGGCACGGGCGGTGGACCTAACGATTACACCGAAGATCTGTCCCACTACACCCATAACAGAACCTCTGGATGGCTAGTTGGCTTCCTGTTCGGCTTCTTCCTGCACTCGATCCGTGGAAAGGACATCAAGCTGAGTCGTCCTGCTGTCTGGCTGGGATGGATCACCAGCTTGGCCCTGCTGTTTACCTGCATCTTTGCCATGTACCCCTATGGAACGTTCAAGTCCAAGACCATTCCCATCCTTAACGAGGCCTTCTACGTGTCGCTCTCTCGTGTTGCCTGGCCCCTTGGCTTAAGTTGGGTGGTCTTTGCCTGCATGAAGGGATACGGTGGACTGGCCAATTCCTTCCTCAGCTCGCCACTTTGGCAGCCCCTGTCAAAGCTCTCCTTCTGCACCTACATGGGACATCTGATGATCCAGAACCTCAATGGTGGGCGCACGCGAGTAAACACCTATTTCTCGAACTACGACATAGTAAGTATCCCGGGGTTACTGTTCAAGGTTCGGAAATAACAATCTATCCCCCACAGATGCTGCGTTTCTGGCAGGACTTCGGTTTTTCAGTGCTGCTCGCCTATGTCATGTACATTTTGATCGAAGCTCCCTGCGGCGGAGTGGAGAGTCTCCTCCTGCCGAACCGAAGACCAGCTCCCCAGCCCAAGGTGCTGCCTGCTGAGACCTCGCCAGAGGCAAACCCATCACCTGTTGATGTAGAGAAACGGGCTGCAGATCCAATTGCTCCTTTGAACGAAGGCGCTTCGGCATCGGCTCCTCCTCTGGAAATCAAGACTGAGCTCCAGACTAACTAAAACTACTAGTTTTAATAAGAAACCAAATCTTTATAGAAATAAATATAGAATACTATTTATATTTACATGTCGTATCCGAAATAAATCGATCAAAAATTATATATGGATTTTATTAGCTAACATTGAAAACACCTTGGCTGAGGAAATTGATCGGAACCATATGCACATATCATGCTCTTGCGTGATGTAAGTTTATAGACAGATACACTATGTTCCTGTTCAGCTCAAATATGCCTGGCATTACTAAAGATCATTAAATATCTAATAGATTATATCTTAATTTGGTCGCCAGGAAATAGATATTAGTAGTTTCCAGAACAATACAAAAAAGGAACATCGAAAGCGGCACAGTTTCCTATAAATCACGCATTATGAGCATGTTGACTCCTTGGCACTTGAGCTGAACTTGACTCACAGAAAACTCAGCACGTTTGAGTGGGTTTTCACTAAACTTGAAGTTGACTGCCTTTTATAATAATAAACTGCTTGTTATAGAATCGAGAACCAAAAACAACACCGTTTACTATAAATTAATATGATCAAAGAGTTTTCTTAGGTTAAACGGTATTGATTATCAACAGTCGTATTTTAGATAGACTCAAGCGTTATAAAAGCCTCTTGAACTTCAAGAATTAACTGGCTGCTGATTGATATCTCTGCGTCTGGGGCTTGGGAAATTCAAAAACCAATAATATTTTGATTGCTCATTTGGTTTATTATTGCCGTGATAAGCGCCTGTCGCTCTTTTCGCCAATTAATGTTGAGTTGGTTGACAGAAGCAACAAGGAAATCCCATTTATTGTTTTCTGGAAACGAGAGACCTTTCGATTAGATAGTATTTCGACGAAATCCAAAGGTTTATAATCCATAGTGCATAGTGACTGTACACTCTAATCAGATTTAAAAACACTTGCACTTGTCATCGTTTTAAAAATAAAATTGCAGTATTTATGAATCTTTTCTTACAAAATGTTTACATTGTAACCCTATGAGTCGGTTTCTCGAGTCCCTGTCAAAGTCCCTGTTAGCTATCTGTCAGAAAAAGTAAAAGACCAGATAAAGTGGTCGTAAAAGCAAATCGACGCCTTTAACTTATCTGAACGAGTAGCAATTATAGAGTTTTGTTAATCACAAATTTAAGCTGTTTAGCGAAAACACAGGCCTTGCTTTGATTATTACATCAACTTTTTAGGTTTTATTTATGTTTCATATTAAATAATTTTATCTTAGTAGGCTTTGTGAAAATAGCTATGATTTTATCAAGTCTAAAAGGACTAAACAGGGAGTCTGAGTCCCTGTCAAAGTTAGCTCTCATTGTTAGGGGCACTCGAGAAACTGTCCTTAAGTACTATTAGTTTTACAGGTGTATTACAAATATGCGTTCTAAATTAGCATATTTTAATTAGCGCAACTAATTTTCTTAGCATGGATCACCGATTAAGTTTACCTATCTGTTAAAAGAGCAATACTGTATGGTTCCCTGATCCTAAGGTTCTAAAAGAAATACAATTTCACAACTTCTTAGCAAGGGTGAGTCCAAAGACCAGTCGCTTGTTAGTACAAATTCCAGACTTCCAAAAAGATTAAGAGTTTACTGATTACATTTTCAAAGGGATTAATTATTTACCAATTCCCTAACTCACTTGTAAATTTAGTACGAATGAGTAAAACTTGAGTGTATCGTTGAAATTGATAAGAAAAAGTGATTTATTATTGGCAAATTGCAGCCATTAGTTAAGTGCTTAAAGCCACTTACTATTTGAAATTTTATTGTCACAGCATTAGTAGCAATCTGACATTGTTATACCTTTCAAAAGGGTTAATAGTAGTCTTAGATGTAGTTCAAAGATTTTTGATCAGTACTTTTTACTCAATACCATATAGAAGATTTTACGATCTAAATGTGGCAATTTAAGGATATCGCTTACACATTTTAGAATTTTTATATAAAGAGAATGATTAGGATAGAAAAATAAACAGATCATTTGGTAACTCCTTGTGAAAAATTAATACTTCTTAGGATTTATTCGGGTATGAAGTATGCTTGAATTCAAAATTCACACAGACAAATTAAACAAAAAACTCAATACAATAATATAAAATACTTAAATAAAAATAAGTAAAATTTCACCAAGGCCCTCGTTAGTCTATCAGAAAATAAGTCCCTTTCGTACTTCAAGTGCTAGTCTGTGTTTTTTTAAGGAGTTTTCTAGGTAAAAGAAATACAATTTTTAGATGTTAATAAAAGTACCTATATTAATTTATAAACTCTCTTTCTTATTTAAAATTTTTATTTTATCAAATTAAAGTGACAACAATCATATTAAAATTAAACATGCTTCAACTGTCCGACTTTTTCTATTTATAGAGACAAACATTTTAATTTTTCGTACAAAATATTGTTTTCAAATGTTTCACATGTACAAATAGGTAAAAGTTCAATTTATATCTTGAACTGTTAGTTGTACCATACATAAAGTCATTTATGTTTATTTCATATTTGGCTCTAAGTCACATTCGAAAATCGTTAAATAATGGTTTAAATTAGTTAATTCAACTATATTTTCTCCTTGTGTACTGGCACCACCCTGTATTGACCGTGATTGCAGGCCAGCTTTTACGCGCACTTCATTCAGATTGCGTCATAGAGATTCCCCCCGCTTTTCTACGCAATCTAAACAAAGTCCGATTTCCAGACGCTTTGCTGCTCCATTCACTAAAGCCCCCTCGAATGCTTTTCGCGCCAAAAAGACAAATTGGCGGAGGGAAAGCCGAGTGGAAAAGCTCTCGGCTAGCTTGAATATGAAACTTTGCCGATTCCCCCAGAGAGCTTTTGGCCAGTTGTTTTGGCCATGCCGGCAAACACGGCGTATGAAAATTGTTTGCTAGAAAACCGCGCTGTTAGTCTTTTGGAAAACCTGCCGTCGAGCGGTTGGCTGGATCAGTTGGCCTTGTCGCGGCGAAAGAAGAAAGTTGGTTCTGGAACCGAACAGTTTTGGGAAATAGAGTTCTCGGGTGACAGGTGCATCGCGGTACATGCCTCAGTTCCAGTTTCGTCTTCTCTATATGTGACTACTCCCGCCATCCAACCGATCCGCCTGCACTTTGCCGCCGTCATTAATGTCAACACCGATGTCAGCTGGCTGCGGTTGTCGGCGGCGGCGTGTTAATGCTTTTAATTACATGCAAAACATAAAAAAGTATTTCGTTAAGTGTTGCCGTGAAGTTTGACATCGGAAATTAATGCACCTGCCACTGCAGCACACGCATTTTGCGGGGGTCGACGGCACAGTTCCACATTCCCGATCCGTAATCCCCACCGATCTTGAGTTTTCCGCCGGCTTTTCTCAGGTAAGTGGTTTCCCGGCGACCGCGTAGTTTTCCACTTGCGGTGTGTCAACAAAGTGAAGGTGTCTATGATAGTGTCATTGAATGGGACTCATATGCTCTTGATAATGTGAAAAGTAAATTGGGCTGAATACAATGCTAATAGAGGTTATAAAGGGTTATCTGCTTCGAAAACTTATGGTGAAGGTCTTTAAAAGAGGGCTCTTCAATTGTTTGCCTGTACAAACTACATTCTTTTATATTTATTTTCTGTTAACATACAATTTTATAAAATTTATATAGTATAGTATAGTAAACAGTATTCTTAAATCGAATAAATGAAACCAAACGACTTGCCGGCATTTGCATACGCGTTTCAATGGTTCTGTTTATCTGAACAGCCCCGACTATCCATTGAACCGCTTCTCAAGCATCGTTATTAATAATGTTTATTTTGCTGATAATATTGATTTCAAAATATAAACATTGACAAATTAATGCCACCGCTGAGCGTACGCAACCGTCAAGTCATGATCGTCATCATCGTGTTTATGGATCGCTATAAGTTCGAGATGATCAAGATCGTGATTACTTCGAGTGTATGCTTGAAAACCGCACTCGAAAAGTGTGGCGAAGTGAGCTTCTTGAATTTCTCACCCCGAACTCCCTTCGCAGGGACCTTGAATTGAGCCCCACTCAAAATTCCGCGCATTGTCGCCGAACTTTTCAACTCATTTTGGCGGCTTACGTTCCCATACTCAAGGGACCGTCCCGAAATAACCGAATAAGTTGTATAAATATGGGTTTTTATTTGCTTAAGAACACATTTCCAACACCCCATCGCCCATGGCCCAACGCCCACCCATCGTCGGTTCATTAAATAAATGCAACATCTGTTGGCGCTCTTTGGGGCCTTTTGTTTACCATTCGTATTGCCGCGCAAATTTAATGCCAAACATATTTAATACGCACAGAGGTTGATTTAGCCCGGCTCACTTCGGCTTGTTTATAAATTTGGGCAGTCAAAACGTCATATGTGGGAGGGGTTCTATTACCATACCTCCTCCGACTAAGTTCATCCCATTATATCGCTCAGACCAACGAACTGGGGGCAAATCGGATAAGAGAGCGCGAGCGGCATAAGAAATATGAAAATTTATTGCGTATACGCCAGAGAGGCCGGCGTTTCGTTTTGAGAATTTTCCGCCTGCATCACAAGATGATTGGGCTTTGCTATTTCGGTCATCTTAAAGGCCCAGTTCCAAATCAAATGTCTTTATTTATGCGAATTGTGAATTGTGATTTATGCGCTCGTCTTTCATGTTGCCATTTTCTATCTGACGGTCTCGTTTTTTACGCCGTGCTCTGCCTAATTACGCACTGCTGGAAAATGGGAAAAGCGAGCGAAATCAGAGAAAAACAAAAAGAAAGGAAAAGTATGCGGTCAAACACGTCGGAGCTGTCCACCGAAAAATACCGAAGACGAGGGGAAAATTAAGTCAGTCGCTCGTCCGTTTGATTTGCCAGACGCGTGTGTGTGGCGCCTTTCGATTTCTTGACTTTAGTTTGGGCCTTGCTTTTTGGGGCAATGACAATCGCGATCGCGTTTGCAATCGCGGGGACGCCGTCTGAATAAGAATTGCCCCCCGTTTTCGTCGCTCACTGACTCACAGACATAATAAACAGCAGCCCCGCCATTCCATTCCATTCCCATCGTGAATTTCTTT